TTGTGCGGCAGGCGCAGGGCTTCGCTCCTTGATCCCAAGCAGCAAAACGCTCCGCACCAACACTTCCTCGTTCGCTGACCTTTTCCAGCTAATTACTTCCTGTGACTTTCTTGGAACTGTGCATCATAACGAGCGCAGGCAGCCCTCAGGCATAATTGAATCATTTTATGCTTTCGGATTCTGCTGAATACTCCTACTTATAACCATAAATACACTGCCAGCATGCAGCTGAGCTGCATACTACCTACCCTTTTCTGGAGATAATTCGCATTTGTACCGGACGGACTCGCGCAGCCCCTTTCCAGCATGCAGCCAGCCAGCCAGAGCGCCACAGCCCAAAGCCCTCTGCGATCGGCGCACGCCTTTGCCGACTTCTGCTCAGCATCACGGCTTAACGTTTCAGTATTTATTACCGAGGGTGTCCCGTCACCGTCCCGTCCCCGTTCCCGTCCCCCCCCCCTCCGCAGTCACCGACACGCGCACGAGAACTACAGCGGCGGAGGGGAGAAGGAAGGCAACCGAAAGAAAGCTGCAGGAGCAGAACGAGGCGCTCTCTTCGCAATGACAAATTGACCTCTAAGTATTGATCTTACATGGTGCAGTCATTAAGGAACCAATGAGTTTCCAGCATCCTAAGCCCCATTTTTCCTTCTTGCTTTTGCAAATTGTTTCAAATTCAAAATGTTACAGAGCTGGTGGAGAGGAAAAATGCCAAAAACAGCAAGAAAATCCACCCCCCCCGCACACCTTTAATTTACTCAGAGAAGGTCATTTTAAAATGCATCCTGTCAGTGGTCCTTTTTTGTAATCTGGCTGTTAACATTTGCTCACAGTGCTCTCAGTGAAATGAGAATAGCTATGCAAATTAAAGCCAGATATCTAGGGCAAATAGCATGCTATACTAGCATTGTTCTGACAGCTTGAGAAAACTTATCAGGAGAGCCTGTCCTTATTTCTTTTAACACCATATATATTGAAAAAAATCACTTCACCCACCACCGAAATGAAAAACAACGTATGAGTCACTAGCTTCAGCAACACTATCAATCAATGCAAGCTTGGAAGTGAAGAACTTACAAAGGAAACCATGGCTTACCCAAAATACCTAACTATGCCCTGCAACATAAAGGCCTGAATTGTGCTGCAACCAGCACAACGTTTCAACAGCAAGGATGTTATTAGTCTTAGAAACAGTGGCTCGGGACGGGTAACGACCACCTCTGCGCTTCATTTGCCCTGAAAGTCAACAGCTCCAGCAGCCAAGAAAATAGTAATGCTCGACTGGGAAGGTGGTTCAGGACCAGTTTCCAGGAGCTCCCAGCGCTCCCAATCTCCCACAAAACTTCCTTGCAGTCCTCTGCTTCAGCAATGACCAAAACACAACTTCGTTCAGTTCAACAGTGACCACAGGAAAGGCAGCATGACATTAGATCCTCCCTCCCCAACTCAAAGAGGAAGTACATTAAACCAATTAGATGAAGCCTCCTGCTCTTCAGCATGGGAGCAACGGGAGCGCGTGGAGGAAGAATTTATTCCAAAACAAACTGCAGCCTACAATGAAAAAAAAAAGCCAGAGCCAAGACCTCTCCGTGTGCCACTACGGTGGTTTACACCAGTGCTCGCTCATCGTTGCACCAAGTCCCCCAGGAAAATACGTTCAGAGCTACCTCCGCCAGTCCTCACTGTCCCCACACTTGGATGTGAACATACAGGTATACATCGAGACTACCAGCCTTTGTCCACTGAAGTGAGGAAATTAGGTTTGGTTCTGCACTCCTAAGACTATATATGAACCCACCTCTCCTCCTCTCTCCATTCTCCAATTTGAGAAATGAAACCAAGAACCAGACCAAGAACTGTACGGTTTTTATTGGAAACAAGTTTGCCACATTTTCCAGCCGACTAGGTCATGGCAATCTGTAAGAGAAACCGAATTTTTGTTTTTTTGGAAGAACCGTACTGACTTCAAAATAACCACAACTTCAGAAGCTACATATAACATATATTTATAGTCTCTTCATTAAGAAGTGCCAAAAATACAATTCCCCTTAATACATGTGCTGTAGTCAGAAGCCATTTCCTTTGCCACTAACTTTTCTATAGTAAATCATGTTAAAATTAGTTTTATGTTATTAAGGTACAGCACAGCACACGCTGCCAATTAAATTTTGACTCTAAAACAGAATGGAAGTTGCACAACGTTTAGAATGCTTTGTAAGCCCTGAGAGAAGTCAGTTTAAAGCATGGTACATCCTATGGTATTTGGCATTAAACCAGTCTTGTATGCAGTGAGTCATTTTTCTGACTGTCAAACCAAAAAGAGATAGCCAGAAACAATGTTTTGGTGAGTACATCTTTAAATTTGTTCCTGTAATTCTGTACTAACATCTTTCTTAATTTCATTTTGGGAAAAAGCACCGTCAGTCATTTTGCAACCTCAGACACAGCATCTCAAGAGGATTTACGTGCAGGGAGATCCAGGAACGTTCGTCTATTCCCTAGCTGTGTAAACTGCGGCCAGGCCAAACCGGACAGCATTTATGGAAAGAAGCCGTGCCACCTGGGAGAGATTCTGTTCCGGCTTTACCCCTGCATTAATAAAACGCAAGCATCACGCCAGAAGATGCTCCCAAACTCACGCACGCAGTGCCCGGTGCACCTCACAAGCGCCTAGCTCGCTCTGCAGAGGCATTGCTAGGCCCCGGACTTGCACAAAAGATAACACGCGCCCTAGTTCAACACGCTGTCACATCCAAGCCCGTTGCTCGGAAAAGCCCAAGCAACCGGTCACACACCGCAGTCGGGGGGTGGGGGGGACATGGGGGGGGGGGGGGAGGGAGTACGAGCAGCACAGCGGAGGCCAAATATAAAAATATATATAGGCATGCATGTGTGTATATAGGTACACATATATGTCGGTATATATGTAAATCCATGTACACAGATATACACGCGAGAGAAGCGGGGCCGCCGTTACCGCCGGGCCGGGCGGGGGGGC